AAAAAAAAAAAAAAACAACAACAACAACAATCAACCCCAGCCTGGACCCAGGCAACTCAGGCCTCTGGCAAATGGGGAGTAAAGGCAGGAAGGGACGGAGGTCTGGACAGGAGACGAGGGATTAGTGTTAAGGCCTAAAGGGCTGGAACCAGCATGGGTGGGAGCCTGGTCTTCCCTGCCACATTCCTGAGGCCAAGAGGGGGTAGGACGAATGACAGGGGGTGCACATTTCATTCCCCTCACTGGTTCTTTTCACCTTGGTAGTACTATTCTCTTCCTGGAAGTGGGGGTGAACTCTTCTCCTCCCTGGAAAACAATCTCAAGCAACCCTTCCTGGGCCAAGGATAGGACTCAGGACATGCTCCATCACCCACCCAGACCCCATGGCTCCTTTTTGGGTCTCCGTACCCCCAGACCCTGGCAATCTCTGGCTCCAGGCAAGGCACACGTGGAGGGAGAAGGGGCCCAGACCTAGGGCCAGGTAGGGCTAGTGCATTGGGGCCTGGTGGTAAGAGAATGTTGTAGGGGGGAGGGGATGGGTGGTCAGGTCCCCTCTCCCCAATGTAAGATGTTCAACGGCCTTAGTGTAAAGAAATCTTGAGCAAGTAGCCTTGGGAAGACTCAGGGGTAGGGCCCACAGGAAGTACCGAGAGCCACAGGGGGATGAAGGTAGAGCAATGATGGGGATGGGGTGTGGCATGGGTATGGCTCTAGATCGCTGGAGATCGGGCTGTGACCACAGTAATGGTACCACTTCCTCTGTCACGAGCAAAATCTTAAAAAATAAACTGGGGGGAGGGGAAGGAGGAGAGAGATCAAAGGGTCTTGGGAACTAGAGCTCCCCCCTTTTACCTCCTCCAGGATGTGGCCTGTGCTCAGCCCTCAAGGCCCCTGGGAAGGGGGCTGAGATGAAGAGGGGATCTTTGGCAGATTCTGGTACCTAAAGTGTGTCCTTTCCGAAGGAGGAAAGGGGCCAGGGAGACATAGGGGCCCTTCTCCCGAGCTGAGCAGAGAGCCCCCTCTGTCCCAGACACCAGCCAGCACAGGCACACTTCCATAGCCCTTGGCCCCGATCGTGTCCCTGGAGGGCTCCTGAGGGGCTGTGCCAGGTGCCGAGACCCAGGGAGGACACACACCCACATCCCCCCTTCCCCTTCTGGCTAGCTCCCAGGAGGCCCAGAGCCTGGTATCTGGCAGGAGTGAGAAGCTTCTTGGATGTTACCAAAGTGTCTTATAAAAACCATCAGAATCAGGCTCTCCCCTCCCAGGGGATTTCTAGGAAATATCCTAGTAGAGTAAGTTCCAAGCCTCAGGAAAGGTGCTCCCTAGGAACACTGAGGCTGACGGCCCCCAGGAGCGGTGGGGGGAGGGGAGGGGGGGGGCAGATGGCTGGGTGTGACTCCTCCCCTGTGGAGAGGAACATCAGGGGTGGCCCCATCACCTCCAGGTCAGTTCATGAACTGGGTGTAGCCCTCAGCCCCAGTGACAATGACGTCCATCCAGATGCGCATAGCCTCAGGGGAAGGTGCTACCATATAGTACAACCGGTCATGGGTCTTGACGCAGAAGGTTAGGGCTGGATTGGGACTCTGTAGAAGAAAAGACAGGCAGTTAAGCCCTCTGCCCTGTGGCAGGCCTGGGCCTGACTGGCTGCCAAGCCATCTGTGAGCCCCCCACCCAGGATCTGACGATCCTTCTTTTGTGAAGGCACTTGGGTTTCACGGACAAATGGGTGGAATCAAAGACTGGCACCTGCCCCACCCCACCTGGCAGCCTGTCTGTTCAGAAATTCTCACTGGGGACAGATGCCAGACCCAGAGCCAGGCTTGGCGCCCCCTTTCAACTCTCCCTTCCTGATCTCTGTCTCCACCATCCTCAGAGCTTATTTCTGGGCCATCCTCAACAGGACAGATCTAGGAATTTTCCCTCTAGTCCTCCCCCACCAAAGAAAAAGCTTTGAGAATCAGAGACAGAGCAGTTTCAGAGAAGGCTTGCCATTCGCCTCCATAGGAAAAGGAGAGAGGAGGAAGGAGGGGCCAGTACAGAGAAAAGCCCGCTCCAAGTAACCCTGTCCACTCACAGCACGGGCCCCTCACTCAGAAACAATGCAGAACTGTAGGTTAGACACACATAGGCAGCTGGGATCCCAGTGGTCAGGTCCCAACAAAGTCAAGGGGTTGTGGTTAGAGCCGGGAGCTTGGCGGGGTTAGCGTGGGGATCAAGGGCAAGCTTAGGGAGAGTGTTTCTGACTCTCGGGAAGATGGTTGGCTCCAAATTTCAGGCATGGCCCTGCCCCTCTCTACTTGCAGACCTCTGTCCAAAGAGTCTAGAAGGCTAGTCAAATCAATTTGTCTTCCTTTGCCAAGCTGCTGGCTTCTGGTCCACCCTCTCAAATTTAGCTTCTAAGAAACTGCCTATACTCAATCCCCTTCCTCCGACCCCCCAACTCCACACCAGGCAGGGTGAGAGACAGACAGCTGTCACTCACAGAGAAGGCAGGATCAGGCACTGTTCTAGAATACTCTCACCCCTCATCTGCTAGCCTGGGCAGCATTGTCAGCTGGCTGACCTCTCCCCTGCCCCTCTGTCTCTGACACCCACTGCAAGGCTGAGGGAGCAGGGCTCTGGGAGGGGGATCAGAGCCCCAGTCAGGATGAAGGCAGGGACAGCATTGATTAAAGGACTTGGGCTGGAAGGCGAGGGTACCTCAGTCACCAGGCTGAAGTTGAAAAATCTCTTCTGGGGAAGGGGGAAGTGTGAGGGAAAGAAAGGAAGAGTTGTCAACAGGAGTGATATAAGAAGTCAGAGCTTGGAACTCCTGATCCCATCCTGAGACGTGCCCAGCCCCTCATACTGCTGCATCCTCCCACCTCAGTGGCCTCAGTTTCCCCCTGGGGCTAGTGCTTTCAGAGGGCCTCCCTCCTCCCCTGCCCTCACCTTGGCAGCACTTCTAAGGTGGTCATAATACACTTCCTCAATGGCCTGGAAATAGATGACACCCTTGAGTTTAGTTTCATGTTTGTCTGTGAAGAGAAGAGACAGGGGCTGAAGAATAGTGCCCACTTGACAATGAAGACCTGGGAGATGCAGAGAGGGGGGAGTCCCAGGGCTCTGCCATTGATTTCCTGGCCTGCCTCGAAGCAATCTCTATGGGCCTCAATTTTCCCATCCGTGAAATAGAGAGGTCAATCCTTGCCTATCCTCTGACCCCATTCCTATGTCCCCTTCCCCGTTCCCCCTGTCCCCTGCCTTCACAGAGCTGTCTCTACCAGGACTGAGATGCAAAATTTCAGTTTTTAAAAATAAATTATCTATAGCCTCTGAGCCAAACACGAAGACAACAGTTACATGCTGCATAGAGGCAGGCACAAGATTTCAGAGGCAGAAGAGCCCCCAGTGACAGCCAGGTGGCGCAGTGGATAGCTCGCCAGACCTAAAGACACTTACTAGCCGTGTAACCTGAGCAAGTTACTTGTCCTCTGCCTGACTCAGTTTCCTCATCTGTAAAAAGGAGATAATAATAGCACCTACTACTCGCCCCCCACAGTTGTCGTGAGGATCAAATGAGATAATAATTGTAAAGCACTTAGCATAGTGCCTGGCACGTTGTCAGCACAATATAAATGTTAAGTATTACTATTATTCTAGAGGCCAACAGATAGCACCAGCCCCTCAAAAGCATACCAAAAAAGTGGTTATCCAGCTTTTGTCTGATGATATCCAAGGCAGGGAGAAACCACTCACTACCTCCCAAGGAAGCCTATTCCACTTAAGGCTCTAACTGTTAAGAAGTTTGTTTTTTGGTTTTCAGTTTTTTTCTTATAGAAAGCCTAACTCTGCTTTCTTAAGCCTTCACTCATTGCTTCTGGCTCTGCCCATTAGTATCAAACAGGACAAACTTAGTCCCTGTTCCCCATGGGAGCCCTTCAGTGACTGCTTGGAGGAATCATTTCCACCCTTCCCACATTCACCAACACTAAGCCTTGCCATCTCTGGGCTCACCCTCCTAGAGAGATGAGAAAGGGGGAGGGCGCAGTGGGGCACAAACAGAAATGTCTGGCACCCATGAGAAGCCCGGCAAATGCTGGGCCAGATTACCTCCATTAATAAGAGATTATATTCCCGTGTCATATTATTAAATGCTTTCCTCAATAAACCTGTGACGTAGGTAATGCAAGAAGGCATTTAGTTGGCAGAGTAGATAGAGTGCCACACCAGGAGTGGCTCTTAGGACAGCTGGGCTTAAACCTTGCTTCACAAATTTATTAGCTGTGTGGCCATGGGCAAATCACTTTACTGATCTCAGCCTCAGTTTACCTCATCTGTAAAATGAGGTTAATAATAACATCTACCTTATAGAGCAGTTGTGAGGATCAAAACCAGATAATTTATGCAAAGTGTTTTTCAAGTCTTAAATCGATATATAGATGTTAGCTATTATCAGTCCCCATTTTACAGATGGGGAAATTGAAGACCAGAGAAGTTCAATGATTTGCCTATAGTAATACAGGAAATAAGTAGTAGAACCACAGTGAACATGTAGAACTTGAGACTGCATGCTCTTTCCACTGCAGCTACTGGGTTAATTCATAATGTTCTGGTTTTTTAAAGTTAATTAATTCTTAATTTTTTTTAATTAAATGGGGAAGCAGAGGAAAGGAGTAGCTTGTCATTTATCTGAAGGTCAGAATGCCAGTAACACAATCAAAGGCCCAAATATAGATTAAAAAAAAATGCTTAGGGGGCAGCTAGGTGGTACGGTGGGTAGAGCACCGGCCCTGAAGTCAGGAGGACCTGAATTCAAATCTGGCCTCAGACCAAACACTTGACACTTACTAGCTGTGTGACCCTGGGCAAGTCACTTAACCCCAATTGCCTAAAAGCAAAACCAAAAACAAACAAACAAAAAAAAGAAATGCTTACATCTCAGAGTGGAGAGGGGAGGGAGGAATAGAATTTGGAACTCAAAACTTTAAATAAAAATGTTTAAAAATTAGAAAAAAAAACCTTTGTGTAGTCAAAATCTGTTTTAAAACTGGGAGGAACCTGGGAAGATCTTTTGGTTCAACCTTCTCATTTTATAGACAAAGAAACTAGAAATTGAGATCAGATGGTCTGGGCTCAAAGTCTTCACCCAACGGCCAATAAAAGGTTAGACTGTGTTCTGTGTAAAAAGTATGTGTGTGATACTTCTTAGAAGTGTCTAGCCAAAGATGACCATATCAACAAATTTCAGAGCAAAATTTTAGCTATCTCAACATTGAGACACTTGAAGCTGAATGTGGTGAAATAATGACCTAGTTTGGCCCCAAAGAAAAGATAGGAAAAGGAATCTCTGGCCATTATTTGAAGAACTGGGGGAATGCTGCTGATAACATTGCACTTCTTTTGATGTTTTGATTAGTTTTGCTGAATTGTCTTTTTCTCTTTTTTATTCTTTGTTGCAGGGATGGACATAGGGGTGAGGGTGGGATACGTTGGGAAATGTAGGGGATATAAATGAAAAGATATCAATGAACATGTATTTCAGGAAAAAAAGTTCCATTACTGGGAAGCTTGTTTTATGTAGAACACCTCCGTCACCAGTACTACCAGATAAATGAGACACTGCTGTATTGAGATATGTGTATATAACCATTTCTCAACTATTATTGCAAAGGCAGCCTAGTATTGTAGAAGCAACCCTGGACTTGAAGTTAGGAGAGACCTTGGTTCAAATCTCACCTCAGATACTCACAAAGAGATCATGGACAAATTGCTTAAACACATGGAGTTTTAGTTTGTAAAGAATTTTGCCAGTGTTAAAGCTACATAAACGTCTGTTCTTGTCCCCTGCACCAACATGCTGTGGGGTTTAGTAGGTGGGGGTTGAGGGGGCAGGAAGAAGGATGGAGGGAGCATGAACGTTCATTGAAATGATCCCTACACAGTCTTCAGGGGGAAAGAAGTGAGAGGGATCCAATCTTGGGATTTATAAATCTGACATGCAGATAATCCACCAAACAGATAAAGCAGATAACTGAGAATTGGTCAAATATCACTTTTTAGAGAGTTTTGTGACTTGTGCATGAGTTTGCTGATGCCACCTTCTCAAGTGAAAATTTGCCAGGCAAAACAAGAGTCTGGGTGTCGATGTTCCTGGAGCTCTTGGGGAAGGCCTGGAGGTTCCAACCTGAAGATTCCAAGAGAGTGTGACCAGATCCCTGAGCAAGGCTGGACATTGCATCCTCTGGGAGTTACTGTCCCCAGGAGTCTTTTCCCTTCTTGGAAACACACAGGACCCTAATGGTTTGGTGGGGAACACACCTGTGATTTCTTGGTGAGGAAGCTCCCTCTACCAGTGCAGATCTGCCCTTATTTTGCAACTTAGAGAGTTCAGCGGTCAAATGATTTGCCGGAATCACAGAGCCGGCATATGTCAGAAGCAGGATTTGAATCTGGCTTCATCCTAATTCCAAGGCTGGCTCTCCATCCCTTATGTTACATGGCTACTCAACAAAGGGGTTATTATTTGGAGATTGACATAACCTTTTTTTCCCCCACAACAATCCTATTGAGGTTGGAAGATAAAGTATTATTATCCCCATTTTACAGATCACAAAACTGAGGCTCAGTGAGGTAAACTGATTAGCCCAGGGTCACATAGCTAGTAAACATCTGAGATAGAATTCCAACCCAGGTCAATCTGGGCAGGGGGGTGGTGCAGTGGATGAAGCACTGGGCCTCAAGTCAGAAAGACCTGGATATAAATCCAGCCTCAGAAACTGACTAGTTATGTGATCCTCAGCTAGTCATTAAGCTCTGTTTGCCCCAATTTTCTCATCTGTAAAATGGGGATAATAACAGCATCTTACCTCCTAGAGTTGCTGTGAGGAGCAAATGAGATGATATTTTTAAAGCACTGCCTGTCACATAGTAGGTGCTATATAAATGTTAATGATTACTACTACTACTACTACTACTACTACTACTATTATTATTACTAATAATATCTGCCCAGCTCGCCGTGGGGTGGAGTCGGAGGAGAAGCGCTGTGGACATAAGTCTGCAGAGGGGCATAACTTACCAGCGTAGTAGGAAAGGGTGCGTTTGAGCCGGTCAAAGACAAACCAACGCTTCTTCCATGACTTTATCTTGCCACCCATCTTGACCAGATAGCCCCGGCAGACCTTGTGAGAAACCAAGATAAGGAGAAGATCTCCAACCAGCAGGACCCCCCCCCCCAATTCCTTGGCTTCTTTTACAGGAGCCAGTAGGAGCAGGGCTGGGGGGAGGGGAGGGAATCGGAATGATGGAACCCCGACGGGGTCCCTGAACAGTTAGGGGATGGACACCCAAATCTTATCCTCACACTCTTTTCCTTATGGGGTAAGAAGATCTTTGGGGAAAGGATTGTAAGGTCAGCCCTCATCTAGTTCAATCCTTTCTTTTTACAGTTGAGGGAACTGAGGCCCACGTTAACATTAAGTGACTTGCTTAAGGTAGAAGCAGCAATCAGGATTTGAATGCAGGTCCTTTGACACCAAGGGCAGCCAGGTGGCTCCGTGGAGAGGGTGCTGGGCTTGGACTCAGGAAGACCTGAGTTCAAAACTGGCCTCAGACACTTATTAGCTGTGTGACCTTGGGCAAGTCACCTCACCCTGTTTGCCTCAGTTTCCTCATCTGTAAAATGAGCTGGAGAAGGAAATGGCAGTATCTTTGCCAAGAAAACCCCAAATAGAGTCACAAAGAACTGGACATGCCCGAACAGCAATAACAACAACCTTTGACACCGAAGCATGCCTCAACATCCTTTGTGTGACACAGGTGGCTGTAGGTCAGGTGCCCCCCAAGTCCCCCAGGAGCACCGAATACCTTCCAACTCAAGTCAAAGCATCTCTCGGTGGTTTTGCCCTTTGTGTTCCCATGCCCCACACACGCCCTCAACACTGTCGCTGACCCCACGAGGGTGCTTGGCCAGAGATCTCTGGGGATCTGAGATAAGGGAGGGGAAATGACTGTTCTCAAAGTTCCTGGCTGGGTCTGGGATGGAGGGGCTGGGGGTCTGCCTGCCCTTACCAATCTTATCCCCAGCTCTCATGTACACACACGTACCTTGCTGCTCAGCACGACGTGCAAGCAGGTGTCCACACCATGGCCTGATGATTCAATGTGCGTCTTCAGGTCAAAATCCTCCTTCCGGATGGGCAGGTATCGGGTTAGGGGCCGTGCCTGTGGGATGGGAGAAGAGGACAAGGGTGGATGGACCTCAAGGGTATCTCCTCACTCCTTCTTGTGACTTGTCTCGGGGAACCTCGTCTTCCTTCACAGGACAAAACTCTCAAGCAGCCGCCATGGTCCTCGCCCACTCCGTCTCAACAGTACCATTCTGTCCTTCACACGCCTTTCAGTTAAGAATTAAGGATATTTGGATTTTTGTCCTGGCTCCATCCCTGACTCGCTGTGTGACCTTGGGCAAACTACTGACCCTCTCTGGGCCTCTACTTCCCCACTTGTGATGAAGATAACCTCCCCCCCCCTTTCCTCCTTCCCTCATGCCTATAGGTAAAGGGAAGAATAAAAGGAGAAGAGTTATAAACTACTTTGGAACAATAGGCTGAATACAGAAACCCACAGTTTTTCTAACGTGATCACTGTACTTATCTATTCTAAGATGTTCCTCACTATAAGTAGTGCAGAAAAACCTTGATTAATAGAACCCAGATAACCACTTAACTTCTGTTTCCTCATCTGTGCAATAAATGCCGTGGGCTAGATAATTTACAAGGTCCTTTCCAGCACTAACATTCTAAGATTCATATCTCTGGTTAGATTTTTCTTTTTCTTTTGTCTTTTTTTTAATAATCTGCTCTTAGGAGAGATGCAAATGGTAACAACAAATTAGCTGAGATCAGGATCTTCCATTTTATGAAAACCAGCAATTCCTAGGATTTGCCATGAAGTCAACAGTGATTCATCACTCTCTCCTACACGGTCAACAGCTAGAGCCTAGGCATCACCGATGTTCGGAACAGAGCCCTTGAGGACCTTCCATGTGGCACGCTCTGCTTACTAAGGCAGGAAAAGCAGATACACACTTCAGAAAGACTTTCAACATTAAGTTCTGAAACAAACAGGATTCTCTGGTCAGTCTTCAAACTTGACAATTTAACTCGGAAAATTTAACTAGGCCAAAGTCCTCAAGATAATCAAAGAAAGGAAGGATCTCAAAGCTGGAAGAAAACTTAGTGGTTATCTGACTCAGTGTCCTGTGCCACTGATGAAATCTCCACTATGCCCTCCCTGAAAAGCGACCACCTATACTCTGTCTGAACACTTCCAGTAACGGGGCACTCATTACCTAAATAATTCTCGATTGTTAGGAAGTTCTTTCTTTTTCTCTATATATGAATGACTGCACCTGTGATTTCATCGATGTTGGGAGCTTCCCCCATCAATGCAGATCAGGATTTTTTCTGCAACTTACAGACTTAGGGCTTTGCCTAGAACACTAAGGAATGAAGTGATTTGCCAGTGTATGTCATAGGCAGGTCTCGAACACAGATCTTCTGCCTCTAAGGCCGGCTCTGTATCTACCATACCCCTCTTGCTTCTTGTTCTCCCCTCTAGAGCCACACAGAACAAATCAAATCCCTCTTCTGTATGACGGCTTTTCGAATAGGTGGAAAAGGCTGGTTATCACACATCTCCCCAGTCCTCTCTTCTTCAGGCTCAATACCCCCAGTTTCTTTATTACTTTATTTTTTTTTGTTTTTGGAGGCAATCAAGGTCAAAGGACTCATTCAGGGTCACAAAGCTAGTAAGTGTCTGAGGCTGGATTTGAACTCGGGTCCTCCTGACTCCAAGGTCAGAGCTCTATCCTCTGTGCCATCTTGCTGCCCCTACCCCCAGTTTCTTTAACAGAATCTCACAGGACATGGTTCTGGATGGGCTGCAGCTCGTCAGAGGCCCCTCAAGAATGTCACCCAGAACTGATCACAGTCCTCTGGCTTTGGTCATACTATATTGTACCTGAGTTTTAAAGTGGGGGCCCTGGGACTCCTGTCTCCAGCCTGATTTTGGCAGACGCTCCCTCCTAGGAGGTTGGGGAAGCAACTCAAGGCCTTCCTTATTTCCCCAAGGGACACAAAATACCACTGGTGAGATGTAGAAAACCTGATGGGCAATCTCTCCTGAAGAAAAGCACGTCGTAGGGTCTAATACACACCAGCATGAAGAGGTGGCGAGGAATAGTGCCTAGCGAAGTGGCCTGGAATCCAGGAACAACTGGGCTCAAGTCTACCTCTGACGTGTAAGGGCTGGATGACCCTGAACAAGTCATTTGATTTCTCAGCCCTGTAGGGAACGCTCTCCAAGACTGGAAAGTGTAGAACAGGTACCGACCCACAGTGGTCACAGTGCTCAATTCCTTCTCCAGGAGTTACTATACCCATGAAATCACAAGTTCAGTTCTTATCCCTTACGTGAAGTTATGAATGTATATCTACATATATGCACACATGCACGTGTCATATAATAGTGTGTATATATATATATACACACTCCCACAATATACACATGCATATATATACACACATATGTGTATACACGCACCATACATTAATGTGTGGTTACACATGTGTGCACGCACACACATGCACATATGTGCAGGATTACTCTCTGGCTGACCACTGAGACACCCCAGGTCCTATCTCTCTGGGAAAGCTCCCCTGTCCACACTGCCCACACACCTGGGAGAAGTGCTTCTCCCGCATCTTGACCTCCTTCTCCACCAGCTGCTGTCTCCGGGCACTCTCGCTCTGGAGCCGTCTCTCCACCTGCTCTCGTCTCCTGCGCTCCTCCTCCAGCGCCTGCCGCCGCAGTTCCATCTCTCGTTCCTGTGACCCCAGTGAGGAGAAGGGAGGAGGGTGAGGTCTCAGAGTCACTCATTACTGCCTGTCCCTCAGGTAGCTCAGGTGGGGGGTGTCACAACCTTCTTGACAAACCAATGGAAGTATCCTTTCTCTCAACATGGTATGCTTCTTTTAGGATGCATCACTACGGAAGACCCCGTTTGAGTCCTGGCACCACTACTACTTGTTCTGTAACCCTGCGCAAATCACTTCACCTCCCTAAGTTTTGGTTTCCTCCTCTATAAAATGGGAATAACAGTCACTTGTACCTGATAGGACTCATGAGAAAAATATTTTGCAAACTGGAAATGTGACCAGAGTCATCACTAACATAAGCCAACCAAGATGGCCTCAGGATGCAGACACCAGGGGTGGGGAAGGAGAAGGCCACGTTTTCTCCCCAGCGTCAGGCGTGCTTCCTCTGGAGATTGCTGCCCCCCACCTCACCCTTGGTCTGGGCTGGTCCCACCACTCCTAGGGTTTCCTCATCATTCCGTCCTTCACTTGGGACCCTTCCCTCAAACTCAGAAGAGAGGGACAAGATTGTGAAGGGCGGCGGACCCTTTCCCAGCACACCTGCACCTAAATTCAGACCTTCCACACTCCTCCTTCAAATGAATTTGCCCTGGGTACAAGAATTCTCTCTGTCTAATAGATATAAGCTCCGGGGCTGGGGGGGGAGGGGGGGCGGCTCTTGGCCTATTTCTCTCTGTATTCTTGACAGTCTTTTTCTTCTTTTTAATCTAATTTTATTTAATATTTTTAATCTTATAAATCTTATATTTAACCTTATTTAACTTTTGTTTTTCTATCATCTTCATTTCTGAATATAGACTTCCCTCCTTCCCTTCCCAGAGAGGCTTCCCTTCTAGCAAAGATTAAAGAAGAGAAAAAACAGTTGGCAAAAGTATGAATCAATCACTTTTTATGGTGTATATAGTATTCTTTGCCCATAATCCCCCACCTCTCCAAAGCAGGGAGGAAGGTTTTGCCATCTTTTCCATATACAGAGTAGGGGTTCTGTAAATGATAGCCAGTCACTTGCCAGTTTCATTCAAGAAGCTGGAAAATGGAGGGAACAGGAAGGGAGGTAACAAGCATTTATTAAGCACCTGCTATGTCAGGCACTACGTTAAGCACTTTACAAATGTTATCTCATCTGATCCTTACAATGACCCTGGGAGGTAGGTTCCATTATTATGCCCATTTTACAGACAAGGAAACTGAGACAAACTGGGGTTAAGCGACTTGCCCAGGATCACACAGCTAGTAAGCATCTGAGGCAGGATTTGAACTCAGTATTTCCTGACTCCAGGCCCAGCTATTATTCAATTCTCTTGCCCACTCACTCCCAATGCAGTCCCCTTCCCCACTCCCACAGACTCACCCTAGATTCTATGAGTCGACTCTTCTCAGCATGGGCTTCCTTCAGCATCTTCTCCATCTCCTCAATCTTCCCCATGTCCATTCCACTGGCACTGAGGGTGGGGGAGAGGAGAGGTAGGCACACGAGGGAGAGGCTCAGGCCCCTGGGCCCTCCTCATAAGCTAGTGAATGGGCAAGCCGATACAGCGGGTACCAGGGGTGGCACCCTGGGGGCAGTGCCCTGGCAGGCGTTACCTGGACATGTTGTCAGGGGAGCAGGCTGAGTTGCCCCCTGTGGAGATGCTGGTCTCCATGCTGTCCGAACTCTCCAGGCTCAGGGTGTCATAGGCATGCTCCCCCTCCTCTGCCCGATCCCGACTGGCCGGCAGGTGATGCAGGATGGAGTGGTGCATGAGAGGGGGGTAGCCTGAGGGGGCTGGGGGGTAGAGGGCTGCCCCATGCAAGGCCTCCCACTGGCACTGGGCCTCCACCGCTGCTTTCTGCTTGAGCTCGGCCAGCCGTCGCCTTTGTTCCTCGATCACCTGCTGCCCTGCAAGGGGGAGAGGATGTCATGGTGGGCACAGTGCCCAGATGGGAGCATACTGTCAGCTCCCTGGATAAATGCAGCGGGATCAGTGGAGAGGGCCTTCTGGGGACAGAGCTCAACTCCGGCAGCAGCTGGCTCTGGCAGCTCCCCCCCAGGGTGCCCTCCCTCAGGGTGTTCCAGATACCCAGCAGCTCAGTGCCTCCAGCTCTCTCAGCCACAATCAGCTTGAGATTGCTCTCTCCCCCAACCTCCCTGCCCTGCATCTCGCCTCCACATTGATCAATGCCCATCCCCCAGACCCTCCCAGTGGTCAACAGTTGGCCAGCCTCTTCCATCTTGCAGCCAGGAGCAAGGGAGGCTGTGTAGAGCACATGCATCAGACCCCCTTGGGGGCAGGGGGTGGGAAAAGCAGTGCCAGTCACAGGCAGGCTCCCGGCTTTGCCCGGCAGGCCTTGCTCAGGCCCTGCCCAGGAGGTGCAGCGGCAGCCAGGGTGGAAGAGGAAGGAAAGGGGAATTGACAGGGGATAGACACAGGGGTCAGACTTGAGAAGAGAGGCACAACGCCCCCCAAGAATTCAGGGTGAAAGCTACTTCCTCTACCCTCTATGACCAGGGCCCTAAATACCCAAGCAGCTTAGCATGAGAGCCATCAGCCCTAGGAGCCAAGGGCCCTGGCATGGAGCCTCAACAGAGGAAGGGCTGCTGTCATGCAGCTGCCATGGGGGAAGGGAGCAATCGCTGGGCCAGAAGCAACGCCCCTAGTGCCCACCGCTCTACCTGCTGTGTCGTCGAGAGGCAGGGGCTCTGCAGGAAGTGCCTGGCCTGGCACGGGGGCAGCCGGACAGAGGATGGGGGTGGCAGAAAGGAGGAGACACAGAGGGGGCGAGAGGAGAGAAAGGCACAGACGTGGGCTTTCAAAACATTCGTAGACTCCAAAATATGGGACGTGGGAGATGAGGAAGGGAGGGCACACAGAACACAGGGATTCCTGGGTCCCCGAAGTAGAGTCCAGGATGCCCTCCCCGAGGGCTCCCCAAACTGCTGCACCTAACTAACTGCATGAGTTAGTTAGGGTCATGTGGGTCTCTCCTACTTACTGCAGCTTCTAGGGAAAGAGCTACATCCCTGGTCAGTTCAGTTTAGTTATTAAATACCTACTCTGTGCAAGGCAATGTTCCCACTGGCCCACAGTCTTCCCCCCTTTTTT